CATGCCCGGCCTGCCCGTCAGCCAAGAGAGCGCGCACTCCCGGCGGCCCCCGCGCGCACTTCCGCCTGCCGGCCGCGCGCGCCTCTAGCGCTGACCAAAGCGGCTGAGAGTCGGGGCCGGCGCGTAGCGATGACGTCACGGGAAGCCAGGGCCATAGAGACGCGCGGCCTCGCCTGCACGCGCTGGTGGACTGCAGAGCTGCCGGCGAGGCGCTGGCGCGGCCCCCTGGCGGGCGGGCGGTGAAGCCCCAGGCCCGAGACCCAGACCTGAGCATCTGAGGTTCGAGTCCCACCTCGGCCAGGGGCGGAGCCGTGGGCGGCCTCGTGGTGGTGCACTTGCTCTCTGAGCCGTTCTAGTGAGACGGGCCCGGAACGAGGCGGCAAGGCGGCCCTCGTGGGGTCCCCAGTCCACCCAGCGGACGGCCAAGAGGATGAGTGACAAGCTGGACACCGAAGTAAAGCAAAGGGAATCGCGGCTCGGAGGGCGGGAGGGGCGAGCTAGGACCCCGTGGGAGGGCAGATGCGGACGAGGAGCTGAGATGGGGGCGAGAAGGGAAGGTAGACAGAGGATGCGGGACATGGGACAGCGGAGCCTGGGAGTCGTCCCCAGGACCCAGCCCTCATCCCAGCCCCCGTCTGTCTCCACACAGGGCCCGGAGCCCATGGACGACTGCGACCAGAACAGCAGCAGTGCTCCATACAGCCCTGCAGCACCTGCACCCCCGGAGGAGGAGAAGGAAGAGGGGGCTGCGGCGGCCCCAGGGCCTGGGCCTCAGCCTGGGCTGTACGGCTACATCAGAGACGGCCTGTTCACCTCGGAGATCTTCAAGCTGGAGCTGCAGAACGTACCTCGCCACGCCAGCTTCAGCGATGTCCGCCGCTTCCTGGGCCGCTTTGGCCTACAGCCCCACAAAACCAAACTCTTTGGACAGCCACCGTGCGCCTTCGTGACATTCCGCAGCGCTGCTGAGCGAGACAAGGCCCTGCGGGTGCTGCACGGTGCTCTCTGGAAAGGCCGTCCGCTCAGCGTGCGCCTGGCCCGGCCCAAGGCAGACCCCATGGCCAGAAAGAGGCGGCAGGAGGGAGAGGGCGAGCCCTCGGTGACACAGGTCGCCGACGTGGTGACCCCTCTTTGGACAGTGCCCTACGCCGAGCAGCTCGAGCGGAAGCGGCTGGAGTGCGAGCAGGTGTTGCAGAAGCTCGCCAAGTGAGTGCGGCTGCAGGCAGTTGTCAGCACGCGCGTGCCACCCCCCCCACGGCGTCTGCAGCAGCTTCGGGGAGCTAGCCAGGAAGACTCCTGTTACCAGAGGGCAAAGCACGTGCTCTTGGGAGGGGCTGGGCAGAGTAGGGCAGCGGGCTGAGGCTGACCACGGCTCTGTCCTCCTGCAGGGAAATCGGGAGCACCAACCGCGCCCTGCTGCCCTGGCTGCTCACGCAGAGGCACAAGCACAACAAGGCCTGCTGCCCGCTGGAGGGCGTCAAGCCGTCACCCCAGCAGGTGAGGCTGAACCAGCGTGGCCCCAAACCACGTCTTTCTCAGTCTCTGCCTTTGGCTGCCCCGTTGCCAGCTCTCCCTGCTTTCCGTTTCTTCCTGGGTGTTCGTCCCGTGACCGTTAGCTGTCTTGTTTTGGGTGCCAGCCCCTCTGGGGAAGTCGAGGTCACTCATTCGCTGTGGTCCCCTCCGGGACAGGAGGGCAGTCAGGGTGAGGTCCTGCCATCTCTTTCTGCCCCCGTCCCCGCAGACCGAGTATCGTAATAAGTGCGAGTTCCTGGTCGGCGTCGGGGTGGACGGGGAGGACAACACTGTTGGCTGCAGGCTCGGCAAGTACAAGGGGGGGACGTGCGCTGTGGCACCCCCTTTTGACACTGTGCACATCCCCGAGGCCACCAAGCGAGTAGTCCAGGCCTTCCAGGAGTTCATCCGGTGAGGACCTGAGTCTGGCTTCTTGGGAAGTCTGGGAGCAGAGGGTGTGGGTTTGCTGCCCTGGGTCGGGGGACGGGAGGGGTGGGGGTGGGGTCCCTGGAGGAGACAGCAGGGAGGCCGTTCCCTCACTCGTGGTCCGCAGACGTGGGGAACTGAGGGCCCGCTGTGGCTCCTGCAGGTCCAAACCCTACGCGGCCTATGACCCAGAGACATACGCCGGCCACTGGAAGCAGCTGACCGTGCGCACCAGCCGCCGCGGCCAGGCCATGGCCATCGCCTACTTCCACCCCCAGGTCTCAGGCGGGGGCCCTGCGCGGGGAGGTGTTGGCTGGGATCAGGCCGGCACAGCCTGATGGGCCTCCCCTCCTGCCCCGGCAGACGCTGGGCGTCGAGGAGCTGGCGGAGCTGAAGACCTCCCTGGCGGAGCACTTCTTCTCCGGGCCAGGCAAGGCCAGCGGGGTGACCTGCCTCTACTTCGTGAAGGAGGGACAACGGTGAGGCGCTCGGGTGGGGCAGGTGGGTCCCCGCGAGAGCTGGCGACACTGAGGGGCCTGCCGTCTGCCCACAGGAAAGCCCCCGGCCAGGAGGGCCTGCCCCTGGAGCACGTGGCCGGGGACTGGCGCATCCATGAGGACCTGCTGGGGCTGACCTTCCAGATCTCCCCTCTCGCCTTCTTCCAGGTGGGCACGGCGCTGGGGTGGCGGCCAGGGCCAGCCTCGCGGACAGCTGCGGGGCGTTAGGGCAGTTACGAACGACCCCGGTGCATGGCCTGCTCTCGGTGGGTAGGGGCGGGCCGATGAGCACACTGGCCTACCCGCTGGACACTGCTCTAGGCGGGGCAGCAGGCAGGCCTTGGTGGCCTCTGGGCCTCACTCGAAGCTGTGGGGACACGTGCAGGGGGTGCAAGGACTGGGAGCAGGAGTCGGGTGACCTGGGCCCCACTGGGAGGCAGTGGCCCACTGGGCATCGTGGAGTGTGAGGAGCCTGTGGGGGCCCTGAGTTGGCTGCTCAGCAGGTGGCATGGCTAGGGCTCTGGACTCCCACGTGGCCAACTATGTGGTTCGAATCCTAGACCTGGCGGCTTGCTTTCCCACTTTCCCTCTCTCTGTCTCTGGTGAGTGTGCATGCCTGTAGCAAATTTAATAATTAGGGTAATAAGTAAAATTAGTGATTTTTAAAAGTGTTATTCATTTATTTTAATTTCACCAGAGAGAGACTAAGTGAGAAAGCAAGCCACCAGGTCCAGGACCCAAACA